TGAACAGTTAAAAGTAACCAAAGAAATAAGTCTGGGAAAAGGCAGAGTGGGGAGCAGGGTTTTACAGGGTAGGACATTTGTTTCAACACAACTCGGTGTTGCAGAGTAGTTCTTTAATGTAAAATTGAGATTTTAATTATTTTTTTAATTAAAAGATACCGTAATTTTTCGTATTGATACGGTATTTTACAACATATTGGTTTGCAGTGTTTAACATTAAATATCCATTCTGTAATAATTTAATAGCAACTGTCTGTGGGAGCATCTGTATGGGAGATGCGTCTAAAATTCCACTTCCAGAAAGTGCGTTACCTTTTTAAAAAAACCCATCTTAGTGTGTTTTGTAATCTCTGAAAACCACATTGTCTTTGTTAAATGCTGTTGCTAAAGTCTTCATTTTTCCTCATCTAGGGCTTTACAGCATTTGTCACGGCTTAAAATTAGTCGCGAAGATCCCGGTGGGCACCAAGAGCAGAGCGATGATGGCCAAGACAAGCAAGAACGAGAGAACAACCCGTGAAGCTGATGCCTAAGAACACTTTAATATTGTGCAAATTAAATACTCTGTCAGCCTAACCACTGGTCAACACTTTTTTCTGAAAGCTGAACTAGAGCGTGGTCTGTAGTTCAGTAATTCTTTTCATTAATTGCTTCACAGCTTAATTGGATATTAGTGCTTCCGGCAGGATCTGACAATATGTGACGAGATAGCCCTTTTACGAGACTATTTAATTAACATACAGGGAACGTTTTCGTGGAAGAATCTCTTGGTGTTTTCTATAAATAGATACAAAGAGGTACTGGAGCCTTATTTGGTTCTGAAAAATGAAGTAGAAACCGAAGGGAAAAGAAAAAAGGAAGATGAGCTACGTGTTTCCTCTTCAGAATTTGTAAGTAGAGAGATGATGATGATATTTTATTTACATGATAATGACTTTTTATTATGACTTTACGGGGCATCACGAGAACATTTGTAGGTCACGAGGAATAACGTCATAACGTATTCCAGACAGATTTACTCATCTGCCTCAAATCCTGGTGGGGATCAAGAGGACAGAAAATGGAATCACTCTTCTAGCGAACTTGGTTGTGGGAGCTTTGATGAAGCATTGCCCAGCCATGTCCAACCCCATTGAGAGCTGTTAAAAATACTATTGACATTATTGAATATTCATATTTATTAGTTTTATATGGTATGAAGGGCTTTGAGCATGGATAAGGCCAACAAATAAATGACACTTTCTACTTGGGAGCAATAAAAATGGAAATAAGAATAGAATAAAAAAGACAACAAGAAGAAACCACCGTGAGTAAGTGAAAACAAGGGGTTTTGCTTAAAAAGAAATTTTTCTTTGATGCTGGTAGGACTTCTATGGCCGTTAAAGAGTCAGTGATGCTCTTGTCCCCAGGGCTAGGTCAGAGAAAAGGAATTTTATTGAGCTCCAGGTGGGGCAAAACAAAAAGGCAGGCAGAAAAGCAGAGACCAGGGTTTGGAGGAAATAACCGGGGGAAAAAAAAGAGCAGATAAAAGGCGAGTTTCTCGTCGAGTTCCAAGGACTGTTTGCTGAGGATGTACACAAATATTTGTGACCCTCTGTATTTGCATACGCAGGAAACCGTTTCTGTGGAGGGCACTTCCTGAATTACAGGGTATATAAATCCGTAAAACGGAGCCGAGGGAAGGAAGCGAAGGCTTTGGTGAGGACGAGTCTTGTGCTCTTCAATCTCGTGAAGGTCTCGGCGGCGGTAAGAGAGTGGCTT